GAAGAGCTAGCCCTAGAAGGAATTGGAGCAGGCAAGTGACGTAATAATATAAATGATTGTTATATTTGTAATGCAATTAATTAAGATTATTAGACCTGTAATTAGACTTATCATATAAGATTGTGTAGTGTTCTAATATTATTTGAGTTTTAATATAACATTATTTTATTGCAAATTAGACTTAGTATGACATTATTGACTACGGAATTGGTGCGACTCCTAGGAATTGACTATTGTAGTCTTAATTAGACTTAGCATATACGCACGAAACACTTAGCATACATTACTATTTTAGTCTTAGCATGTAATATTATTTGAGTTTTAATATAATATTACTTTATTTGTAATTAGACTTGGTATGTAATTATTGACTACGGAATTGGTGCGACAAGTAGCAATTGACTATTGTAGTCTTAATTAGACTTAGCATATACGCACGAAACACTTAGCATATACATGACTATTTTAGTCTTAGCATGTAATATTATTTGAGTTTTAATATAAGATTATTTTATTTGTAATTAGACTTAGTATATAATTATTTACTAGCTAGGGTTGTATAATATACGTCACCTAGACTTAGCTTATATCACGATTTGTAATTAGACTTAGCACGTAAGGTTGTGTAGGGTTCTAATGTACGACATTTACACTTAGCATACATGACTTAGATTGTTAAAACATAAATGTCTCGTGACTTAGCAGATGTTTCTTGTATCAACAGATGGCTGACCGCGATGAGGAACAGATATTGTACGATACAATCGCGGAGGGAAGCAGCCAGTACTGGAATGAAGAAGAGGGGAACGAGGATCCAAACCAGTACTTGAACGAGGAAGGGAACGTGGAGAGGGATGCGGAGGGGAACCAGCAGGGGCACGTGGAAAGGGATGTGGAGGGGAACCAGGAGGAGGAGGCTAGTGGTAGTCAACCCTCCGTTGGACAGAAGAGGGCACGCGGGCAACGAGGTGCAGCGAAGAAGCTTGAGGGTCGGCACATCATAACGGAAGTGGAAGAAGATGGACGTCCTAGTGCCCCGGCCGAAGCCGCCAAGAACTATGTACGTCACAGCGGTTGGGTTGTGCGGGATAACGTGCCTGTCAGTACGGTGTACTGGCGAAGAACAAGGGCACGCGGAGATCATGAGAGCTTTGTCCCAGATTCGGAGAAAGAGATGCTGTGGACCACAATGCTCGAGACATTCACCCTTCCTGCGGGTACAGAGGACAAAGTGAAAAGGTGGACTCTGAAGAAAATGGCAGAACAGTTTCAGAGCTTCAAGGGAGATCTGTACCAGAAGTATATACTGAAGGGGCAGACACCGAACTTCGACACATTCCCAAAGCTAAGGGATCACTGGGACGAGTTCGTTGCATATAAGACAGGTGAACAAGGGCAGGCGATGATGGAAAGAAACAAAGAAAATGCCGCCAAGAAGAAGTACCATCACCACTTGGGGTCAGGAGGCTATAGCGTCGCGATGCCGAAGTGGGAGCAGATGGAGGCTAGCTTGATTGAGAGGGGTATCGAACTGGCAACAGCCAATTGGCCGGAACGATCGAAGTTCTGGTACTATGCTCACGGTGGAACACTCAACCCAGCTGATGGCTCACTGGTCTTCGGCTATCAGATACAAGAGGCTGCGCGACGACTAACAGATGCAGTGGAAGCCTCCTCTCAGGGCACGTTCCGACCAGACAGAGATAGGGACGAGCTGACACTCGCCCTGCAGACTCCAGAGCATCCAGGACGAACTCGAGGGAAAGGGGTGATTCCTTGGAAGATTGGTTTCAAGGAGGACATCCACACGTACAGGAGTCGGATGAGGAGCAAGAGAGATACCGAGGCGAAGATTGCAGACCTAGAGTTCCGGGTATCGAGCTACGAACTCAACATGCAAGAGGAGGTGGCAAGGAAGGTTGATGAACGCATGGCCGCACATCGGTCCCATGATCCCCAGCCGACCATTCCTCCTGCAATGGTGAGCCCGTCAGGAAACCGTAGCAGCTGCGCCTCAACGGGGCAGGTAGAATCACAGAGCATGGACGCCATGCAAACACAGGACGAATCGACCTGTCCCGTTGATGACATCACTCAGCGGACACCATGTGAGCTGCATATTCCTTTCAAGAACTTATCAATAAAGGTAAGATTTAGCCATTCCGCTAGTTGCTGCTTATATATGTTGATTACTAATAAATAATCTCTCACAACATGAAGGTGGCGTCGGGCATGGCCATCCCAACGGACCTTTCAGGTACTTACCACTGCAGGCCGATTCCAGCAGAATACTCCAAGGTCAAAGTTGAGTTGGTCGAAGGCGCGTACGAGGACCTCGAGCTGGATTACCCTGCAGGAGACGGTGAGACGCATCTACGAGACACATGCCATGCCATTATTCTATGGCGCAGGCGGTACATCATCCTCCCTGGGCGACAAGCGGCGTCTCGTGCACCATCTCCTCCGGCTCCGCCATCTCCTCCTCAGGATCCTGCACCGTCTCCTCCTCATGCTCCGCCAGCACCGTCTCCACCGCAGGCTCCAGCATCGACTCCTCCTCAGGATCCTGCACCGACTCCTCCTCGTGCTCCTACACCTACTCCCCCGCAAGCTCCTCTTCCGGCACCTTCAAAGTCAAGGGCCCCCCCAGCTCCACCGCTTGCCCACACAAGGGCAACAAAGAAGGCGAAAGTTGACGCCGCTAAGAACAAGGACCCGGGGTACGATTGCACGCAAGAGGAGCTTGACGCTTACGTTGCATCAGAAGTCAAGAGACAATTCAAGCCTCGAAGTCTAGAAAAGAAGATTCCTATAGACCCCAGTGTCAGGAACTTCTTCAGGGGTATGTCTGCATCTGTCAAGGAGGCCATCAAGCTATCGGACTATGAGCGAACGCTGAAGAAAGCATCTTCTGGAAAGTCCAAACCAGTCCCTCAGCTTGGAGAGCAACCAAACCAGGAGATCGAGCCGTTGGTGACCGGTAAAGAAATGACGATAGAACAATTTATTACTGACACCGGTCTAACTACGGATCAATTGCTAGGAGTCGCACCAATCGAAAAGGCGGAAGTGAAATACATGTACGAACTCGGTAAACCGCTTGTCAAGCCTGAGCTGCTGCAGTCCCTACCCACACAAATGTACAAGTTCCATCAGCTGTACATGGAGATGAGCGCCACCGGTAGAGAGATGATCGGAGCGAGGATCAGGGACACGGACTTCTTGCAAGGAGATGACATTCTCTGGATCAATTTCAGGGGAATCTACGAACTATACCAGCTGGACGCCCTCGACGTCTCTATTATGAGTTGCTAGATTTTGTAAGTATATCGTTCAGTTAGATTTCTTACTATACGTCTCCTTTAATTAATTAGGTCCTTGTATATAAGTAGACCATACAAAATAATATACTCCCTTTTATCGTTGTAGAATGGAGATTCAAAGGGCCCGACGGCGGAGGGTTTTCGATACTGGATTCATCGACCCTCGGAAAGTAAACGTCGCAATGCTCGACCAATATCCACAAGAAACAGAGGACAATCTCGTCCATCTCCTGAAGGCGCAGCATTACAAGACGTTCATACTGTTGCCATACAACACAGAGTTAGTTTAATTTTACTGTCTTCCTACATACCAAATTTCATTCCCGTACGAACTTGCTAAGTGTTTCATATGTAATGCATCCCACGCACATTGCAGATTCCACTGGGTGCTTTTACTCATCGACCTGGAGGCCTGCACCATCAACGTATATGACTCAATGGATAAAAAAGAGTCTACGTTTGACAAGGTTTTCGAACTTATAGACAGGTACCGTCATAAGTTCCTTTGTTAATTAAGAAAATCTTGTTATGTTAATTGCTACTACGAATCATAGCTTTAAACTCCATGTAGGGCTTGGTATCGGTTCCGTCATTTGGTCCGCGGCAAATGGAGAGAAAGACTTAGGCGGAAGTTCAAATTTCCTGTGAGTACACATGCTCTACATTTATATTTCTCCGATTCAAATACATACAAGTGTATATTAATTAGATCTCTCGTTGTTTGTCATTTATTTGTAGTGCGCAAAGCAAAAGCAGGGAACTAACTTGTGCGGCTATTACGTGTGCGAGTATTGCCACTGCCTTGCAGACCAAATCATCACCACAAGAGAGCTCGATGTACGTACAAATAAATTCAAAATTTCATTACGTAGCGATTTCTTGTTTAATTACTAATCAATTTCATACATTCATATAGTTTATTCACATGAGGGATAACCTGACCACACACAAGGAATTTATCGCGGCGGTTCAAGAACAACTCATGGGATTCATCAACGAAGAAATCCTTGATCCCAAGGGTGAATTCTACTATGACGGAAACACAATTCACCGGTCCTTAGCTTCTGAGCTAGCAGCGAGTACTACTACGTCGAAATCGTAGCTAGCTAGGACATATAATGGATTGTAATTAATACATGACTACATATGTTTCTATATGCATGTGTACACATTTTCTATAATGTAAATATATTTTGTTCAGATATATATCTATATACATATGCATTTGCATAACATATATATGTATAAATACATATATATATATGTATGCATATATATATGTATTGAAATATATATATGCATGGTTTATATATATATATATATATATATATATATATATATATATATATATATAAACCATGCAGCAACAGGGGCATGCAAAAAAAAAGGTCAGCTCGATCTTTAGTCCCGGTTGGTGTTACCAACCGGGACTAAAGATCGATCTTTACTCCCGGTTATTTCACCCGGGACTAAAGATAGCGATCTTTAGTCCCGGATTGGTACTCCCGGTTTGGAAACCGGGACTAAAGGGGGGTTACGAACCGGGACTACAAAGGGTTTCTCCACCAGTGGATGATAGGGTGATCGATCCACATAACTGCATGTTTAACCATTCAGTTACACACTCTTACTATCATGCAAAGCAAACCTCCATTAAAAATGGGGCAGCATTCTTTACGTTGCTTGTACTAACACATGCATACTCTAGATATTAAGATCCCATACGGTAAGAAAACTATTAACAACTTTTACTCTATATATTAACCTCATCCGCCGGCCATGGCCTCCGCCGCATACTACGCCGGGCTCGTCGCCGGCACGCCACCTCCGCCGTGTCGCCCTGGCCGGCTCCGGCGGTGTCAGCCGCCGGCCAATAACCTCGTCTCATCAGGCAATTGATCAAAGCTTTTAGTATAATCTTGAAATCTTATATTTCTAATGTATATAGAAGTATTTGAGATCTGGTATATGAATATGACATTGCTTGATTTATCATGAAAAAATACATTAACATAGTTATATTTTCATTAATTTTATCAATATATGATCAGAAGAAAAAAAGCAATGATCACAAACCTATGCACTGGAGACTGTGTTTAATGTCTTAAATGACAGTTGAAACAAGAGATTAGCAATACCTGTGGGGCATATTATTCTTGATTTGATAAACAAATAAAGAACTTTGATGTAGGTAGAAGAAGCCATCAAGCAATTAGGGTCACCAATGGAGTGAACATGGATGGCCGGGCAAAGCTTGCAGCCCCAGTTGCAGTGGTCACTGGAGCATCTAGAGGGATTGGAAGAGCCATCGCTGTGGCTCTTGGCAAAGCAGGGTGCAAGGTAATTATTTCTAGTCTGATATGTTCAACAGCCGAGAAACCAACAACCTTGATTACTGTTGTTATTCCTTGAAAAGGAACAATAACAAATTTTCTTCTTGTCAGTCTTCTAGTTTTTTTCTCAGTTACTCATCTATACTTGCACAAATATATGAAATTGCAAGTTCAGTATAAGGCCTTGCAAGCTCAGGTTATTGCATTTGCTGCAAGGCCTTATACTGAACTTGCACTCCCTAAATTTACTACAATCTTTTATTTTATTTTATTTTCATGATTCCACCTTAGATATGTTTTTATAATTTTGGTGAAAATCCACGAAATCAAGTAGAAGTTTTTGACTAGATGTTCCAATAACTATTTTGTTATTTATGATTCACCTGAAATTTTCTTAAATATATATGAGGAATTGGTAGCAAAGAACATAGGTCAATTGAAGAATTAAAAATATAGAAGGTACAATGAAACAAATTAACTTATGTAAGGCTTTTGTTTGTCTAAGGTGATTGTGAACTATGCCAAGTCAGGTATGGAAGCTGAAGAAGTGTGCAGAGAGGTAAACTAAATCACTCATCCTAGTTGATCTTGATGCACTGCCATGCCATGTTCTGCCTCCTCCTATTCTGCATAACAACTTGCACAATGTATTGTTCTTCCATTATTCAGATTGAGGAGTCCGGGGGCACCGCGATCACCTTCTCTGCTGACGTCTCCATCGAAGCCGAGGTCGAATCCATGATGAGAGCCGTGAGTATGCATTTTCGGTATCTTTTCTATGGAAGGGCTTCCTTTCGAACGGAGGAATTTTACGAGAATCGAACTAATCCATGTGAAAATGCTACAAATTCCTACTTTTCAAAGTACCCCTGACATTTAGTTATCCAATTGACTACATGGGTTGATTATTGGGTGCTGTTCTTTCTTTGAGTATGTTTGCTACAGGCAATTGACACTTGGGGAACACTAGACGTGCTGGTGAACAATGCAGGTTGTGTGAGCAATGCTAGTTCTGGATTGCATTTCTACAACATTTTTTGGTGGATTTTAGATGGAATTATGACAAGCTAGGTGTGTACTGGTTTTGAGCAGGGATCACAAGAGACGCACTGCTGATGCGGATGAAGCGGACACAGTGGCAGGAGGTCGTCGACGTCAACCTCACCGGCGTCTACCTCTGCGCTCAGGTAAGTTCACTTGATGATCTTCCTTTGCCACCTACCTCGTACTACCTCTATCCCAGAATAAGTTCATTTTTTATACGGTGTATAGCCTATGTCCAAATTCGCGTATTTATTCTGGGACGGAGTACCAAATTTGATCTTGCCCATGAGCTTCAGATTCTGCCTGCTGTTCTTTCAGGCTGCGGCGGGGGTGATGATGATGAAGAAGAAGGTTGGTACTCTGCAAATCCCTGGATGGGGATGAAAAATCTGACATTTCTGTCCTGAGAGGAGCACTTGCTATGAAATGAAGTTGCACAGCTCCTTTGTTATGAATGGATAGTAGATTATCTCATTTTGTGAAATTGTTCAAGGCCACAAACGAGTGAATTAACTATTGCAAGGTTGATAGTTTGTTTTTAAATAAGTATTCTAAGGAACTTACTTATGGAAAGTTTTTGTGAAAACTGCAGTGTTTAGGAGCCTGGAAAGCTTGCTCGTGATAGGCCATAATCTGATAGAGTTTCATTGAAGATTTTGGTTGTCTGATTTGCTACAGGGAAGGATCATCAACATCACCTCGGTTTCCGGGATCATCGGCAACATTGGGCAGGCCAACTACTGCGCTGCCAAGGCCGGGGTGATCGGTCTGACCAAAGCCATGGCCAGGGAGTACGGCAGCAGAAACATCAATGCAAGTACTCAGCTAGCAGTAGCAGTGATCATGTCACTACAACTGCAGTCTGAAGAACAGAAGAAACAAATTCTGAAGCACTTGCTGATTGAGCTTGTGCCAAACTTGGTTTTGCAGGTGAACGCCGTTGCTCCTGGCTGGGTGACCTCCAACATGACCGCAAAACTAGGCGACAATGTCGAACAGAAGGCTCTCGAGACGATACCGTTAGGTTAGTTGCAGTGTTCTCTACACTGGTTCTGAAGAAGAAATTCTGAATTTTGATTTGTTTTTGCTGTTTCTGATGCAAATTTCAGGACGGTTTGGCAAACCAGAAGAGATAGCCGGTCTGGTGGAGTTCCTGGCCGTCCATCCTGCTGCAAGCTACATCACTGGGCAGGCAAGCACAACTGCAGAAAATGGTCTTCAGATATGTGATCAAATGAACATGTTTTGAGAGATTAAGTTGCTTAATTTGTGATGGTGCAGGTGCTGCCGGTTGATGGTGGCCTGTCAATTTGAGAAACATCAGCAACAAAGTTCTGACTTGTAAACCAAGTGAATGTAATAGACTCTAAAGATATCACGATGCTTTTCTTGAAAATCAGCCAAGTGCACTGAAACTTATGGTGCTTATAAGCTAAAACTTGAAACTTAAAACTTAGTTTTGAAGTTGATTTTATGGTTTTTTTTATCGTAGTTTATTTTACAACATTTGTTTTTGAATCACTCAGGACACACATATAAAAGTACTATAAGCATAGAAACGATGGTGCTGTTAATTTTCTACTGATCCGGACCTATCAGAAAGAACGAGCACCTCATTTCCGTATCATTCAGTTGGTGAATCAGACAACTTATGAAGATCCCAAGAACTCGAGCAACACAATTCCAAAAGATCAAGCATCACAATCTCCAACTCGGCAACTCCTACCAAACAAACATTACCAAATTTGGCTTTCTTAGCATCGGGACAATTTAACATAGCACTAGCTTCTGAGTTGTAACCCACCCAAACCTTGAAAATTCAAGAGGTTTCTCCATGACTTGACAGCCCTCATTTGTCACAAGTGAAAACTGCTGCTCCTCCAAATTTCAACCATAACCTTATTAAGCCTAATCACTAAACGTCCAAAACACACCAAACTACCAGCCCTTACATCCACTTTGGACGTGACAATTCGATCAAAGCTCTGCCTTTTATCCTTTCTGAACTTTGGATGCTCTGAGCATTTACAGTTGCCTCAAAATTCAGCAAGAACGTCTGTCAAACAAATCATAGCCAATCTAAAATTATATAACCATTATTTTTTTTTGTGAATTTCACACAACTTCAGTAGGTCAAAAACTATCGCTGTCAGAATTTGCAGGAGTTTGCAGAATTGCAGAAAGGATATGCCTTGAGAATAAAACTCTAACCATTTCAGAAAGCGAGTGCTCATCATCTCACAGCCAATCCAACCAAACCAATCCTCTCGATCTCAATCCCACACGCAACACCAATCTTTCTTCTTCCTCGCCGCCACGGCCGGCGTGGCGTGGCATTGTGCAGTTGTGATCGGTCGAACAGGTGGTGGGCGGCAATGGCGGCGGGCGCGGAGGCGGCGGCGGAGTCCATGTTCTTGCCGTTCTTGGCGATGTTCGCGGCTATATACCTCGTCGGGTACCTCGTCGTGTTCCGGCGGTGGGGCGGCGCGCAGAGGGCGGAGGCGTCGAGCTGCTTCGCGTCGCTGTTCCACGGCACGCCGGCGGCGGCGCTCGCGCTCCGCGCCGTGCTGTCCAACCCGCGCGGCTGCTGCGTCGGCGTCGCCGGCGACCTCGCGGCGCCCAACACGCGCGCCGACGAGCTCGCCCTCGACTTCAGCACGGCCTACTTCGCCGTCGACCTGGCGCACTACCTCGTCCTCCTCCCGGGCGAGCGCCTCTTCGTGGCGCACCACCTCGCCACGCTCTACGTGCTCGCCACCTGCCGCGCCGCGGCGCGCCGCGGCGCCTGCGCGCTGCTCGTCATGGAGGTGCTCGCCGAGGCCACCAGCCTCGCGCAGAACCTGTGGACGCTCGCCGGCATGCGGCGCGCCGGCTCGCCCGCGGCGGCCGCGGCGCACGCGCGGCTGTCGCTCCCGTTCTACGCCGCGTACACCGCCATGAGGGCGGTGCTCGGGCCGGCGTGGTTCGTGAGGATGGTGCGGTTCTACTACGCGTCGGACGGCGGCGGCGGCGCCGGCGGCGAGGCGTTGCCGGCGTGGGCGCGGGCGTCGTGGACGGTGGTGATCGGCGCCGGGATCGTGGTGAGCGTGCTCTGGGTGAGCAACCTGTGGCTGGAATTCTTCAGAGAAAACAAAAGAAAAGAGAGCAGCAAGGAGCAGTGACTGCATTTCTGCACTTCTGTTGAAATTTTTTTTGCATGATTTGGATGGATGCAATTTTACAGGATTTTCATAAGAATCAAACTAATTCATGTGAAATTCTTGTAAGATCCCTTCGTTCCAAAGTATACTCATTTAGAACATTAGGGCTTTTCTTTTCACGATTTTTGCATAAATTAAACTGATTCTTACAATGCTCGTGTAAAGTTTCTGTATTTAAAAATGACCTTATTTTATTTTTGTGCTCTGTGACATCCTTCTGAAACATCATAGATAACCGTATTTGGACAACAGTTTTCAATTGAACAGGGTACCCGTATCATAGTCTAAGGATTTGACAATGAGCTAACTCGAATGCAAATGCAATTTTGACCAATTAGATAATGCCTAGAATTGTCGTGGTTCACAGTGTAACACTTATCTGTAGCTAGGGATGAAAACGGTCAGAGTTGATAGTATCTCTTTGGAAACAATGTTTGGTTGGTTGAGAATTAAACATATTTATCAATATACCGCTAAAACAAACTAGAAAAACAATTTTTATATATAGCTAAAAACATAAACAGTACCACTTATACGGAAATTACGCTCAATTGGTCAAGAATTTCCATGACCATTTTCAGCACAACCACTATTTCCGAAGTCATCCAATTCTCCACCTCTAACAAAAGCATTGGTATTGCACAATCATCCTTGAACAGAAAATAGCTGCATATGACTGAAACTCCAATTCAGGATTTCTTTTCCCTCGAAACAGAGCTAACAAATACAAGGTGACAAGGCAGGATGTACCAAAAAAATGTTAAGGGAAAAAAAAAAAAGACGCCGACACTAAAAACTTTTTTTGGATAGGACAAAATCCCGGCCCACACACCTCTGGAAAGACCAGAATTTAGGTCCATTTAAACAATGCATAATAATCGTGTTGCACACCCAGAAGGATCCAATAAAAGAAAGAAAAAAAAAGAGCTAATGGCAGATACCAAAAGAACCTTTTTTTTGTCATCCATGAACTACCAGAAGTAGGCTTGCCAACACTAAAAAAAGAGCCATTTCTGACCAGTCCGTTGCATACTGAATTAGCTAATCTGGTCAGAGTGAGCAATTGGTTATACCATATAGTAGACACGTGTAACACAAATAATGAATTAAAAATGTTTATCTGCCCATACACTTGTTAGTTCCATAAACAAAAAGGTAAAAAACACAAAGACGTATTTGATAACTTAATTGATCAAGTAGCTTCCTGATTCTTATTCACAATGGGATGTGGTCATGTGGAACAAGATCAGAACAGTTGTTAGTTCACAGTAAAATCACCTTGTTAGCAGAAAATGCTAGTACCGTACACTACTCCAAGAATAATCACAGCAAGGATAACGCAAATGAACTGATTTTCGTTGACCAATTAGGAAAGCTTACCACATAAAGAACCATGAAGAATTTCGATCCTTTACTGTTGAGCAGTAAGGGGTGTGTTACATAAGAAAGGAAGCTTTCCTAATTCTCATCAGCCTATAAATTACGGCATTCGGAAAACTAGATGCGAATAAGGGAGGCGCTTGTCTTGTCTGTGTCCTCGTTGTAGTTGAGTTCTACAAATGTGCCTCCACCAATGCCCTTTGCTAATCTCCCAGGGTTCATGCAAATAAAACGCTTAGGTTCTTCGCTACTTTCATCGAGGGAAAGCACCTGTTGAAGTGTAAATCATTTCATTTGGAAAGGAAAAAGAAACAATAAGTGACATGTTTAAGCTCCCTGATGATCACAACTCAAATTTATGCATATCAATTTAAAATTCCAATAACATTTCTTGTCACAATTACCTTCACAAATGGAGCAAGGTCAGAAGGAAGCAGGAGAACGTCAGGAGCTGATGCGATCTCCAGTGCTCCGTTAGCGAGTGAAAAGTCCAAGGGTACACCAGCAGGAGGAGGATATAAAGGGTAATAGCTATAGGAAGAGTACTATATCAGAGTCCATTAATAAAAACTCTGCCCTGAGTAGCACCATTATCAAGATATATGTAATTACCTTTGTTGCTTCAATATGTGTGTGCAAATTCTACCAATTCTGTCACCATGCTTTTCACCAGGTGGCTTGCGAGAAATTTCTTCACCACTCAGATGTTTCAGGATATCCATTGTGCAGCAGCCAAAGTGTATCTGGAACACAAGTAATACAGCTTAGGAGAACTTCTTATATAGAATAAGTTCGTCCTTAATATGGATGATATGTATTCAGCACATAGACAAGTTCCAAAATTAGGTAAATAAATATCTTAGTAGGCAAACACAATAAAATTGTGGTTCCCTTATTTACTATTCATTGCCATGATCATTATGTGTCAGTGACATTTTTGAACTAAAATGTGAATAAAGGATTATGTGAATTTTTAATGGAAAACAAGGAATAACCTGATTTCTTAGCAGAATAGCACAAATGATTCAATAACCTAGGGATGCCATTTGTAGACATTTTCACGATTAGAATACATGTACTTTGCCTCTGTAATAATTAAAGTATATATCACCACACAATCATTTCTTTCATTTGGATACGGTACAGTACCTCGTTACAACTGAATAGGCTTGGATTAGCCAGACAAGTAATCTGCATAATTTGTGAAACCATTTCAGAACAAGGGAATTATTATCAAATATTTCGCAAGAAAACAGATATTATCACAAAGATCGTATTACTACCTGATGCGTGATGTCTTCTGGTAAATTCAAGTCAAATGCAGGCTGCAGACAGCAAAAATACAGTTATGTCAAGCATGTGAAAGCAGCATCAAAAGAAGGCTTAAATAATAATAATCATAATAAGCTATCAGAGAGATAAGCTGCAGAATGCCAAGATATAGGATATTTTTAGGCCAAAAATGTCGTAGATGAATAAAAGTCATGTGCCTAATAGATAATGAAAAATGGCAACCTCTTCATAATTGCAAATTAGACAAGACAAGCCTGGCTCTGAATGAGGAATTACACACCTGGGGAAAAACAAAGTCATGGTGGGCATCACGTACGGATGGAATAAGAATCACACGAACATTGTGCCCCAAATACTGGGTGAAGTCTTGAAGCTGGACAAAGACATCAAATATAAATGTTACTCAGTTGTGTATTTCATTACCTGCCAGCATGAAATCTTCTGTGGTGCCTACCTTTCTCAGAATTTCGAAAAGAAATATGTCCTGAAAGCTCTTATCAACAGCTCCCTTTTTTATTTCAGGATGATCAGAATCAATAAAGGGTCCCATCTGCATCCAAGACACATCAATTGGTACGGAGTGCCAAACATATTAAATTGCTTCAACAAGATTCAAATGCCTCACCAATATAAGAAGTTGAGGCTGCTTACGACTGGCATAAGATATCAATTCTTGCAAAGGTTCAAACAACAGATTATCACTCGTTGTATAGGGACCTGCTGCAATGACCTATAAGACATATGATACCTTCAAACATGAGAACAGTAGCTTTGATGTTCCATTATCATTTCACAGTGAATCAAGTATGGTTGTTACTTGTTGCATTTTTTTTGTTACTTCTTAAGATCCATGGTTTTATTATTCAACTCTACACTTTTAGTGGCTACCTGAAATTAGAATATGTAAATGAAGCATAACGAACTATATAGCAACAAATATAGGAAGCAAAAATTATTTACTAACTTTAACAATAAGATGTACAGTGACCTAGTATTATTAAAACCTCCTGTGTTATTGACAATTTAATTAAGCTAAAAGAAAAGTGAATAAATATCAATAAGCTAAGAAATTTATCAATACGCATTGATCATTGGATAAAAGGGCATGTATCCAATTGTTTTCTCAAATGGTAGTAGGAACTAACTGATGATAGCACTCTTGATACAACGTCAGAACTTTGGTTGCCTTCACTGTCCACAGCTTGTTTCTTAGCACGAGGCAGTTGAGCATCAACAAAGTTTGGTATGGAATCATTCAACTTTGACACAACAAAACAATGCCCGCTAGGATTGTGGCCTTGAATGCCAACGACCTGTCATTCAACTCGGTATTAATTTAATGTAATTGATAATAAATATGAGATATGAACAGAATACAGATACCTGCCCAGGAAACAAGGAAAACCGGTCTACGTCCTTCAAGTCTAAGCGTACATGCTGTCCCCTGGAGTGCTCAACACTAAAAAGAAAAATCTCATTTAGTTAGCATAAAGAAGAAAGGGTGATGAAATGTTGTTTTCCACATGAACTAGTTTGAGAATCAACATTTACCTGCCTTGTAGCAAGATAGATTTTTCATTTAGATGACCTTCCCCATCACAAATTACCATGCCAACTGAAAACATACTCTCCTAAAAATAAAAATATATAATTAGATATGCTTCCAGGACAGGGATGATGATGAGTTCAACCAGTAAAGTTCAGGTGGCATGTAGTAACCTCTGAAGCAAGGGTAGCATCTGCAGGTTCTCCACAAAGCCCAGATGCAGAAAACAAGCTTCCAGACCTCCTTATCCTATCTTCCAAATAATTAAACTGGAAAGCGAAAGATAATTAAACAAGCAGTTGTAGATGAAGATTGAACAAACAAGTAAGAATTGTCCTTACTCTATCTTCTATTCTGTCATACATGAACCTACAACCTGGTTCAGGCTGTGAGCGTTGAACTTGCAAGGTACACCTTTTACTAGGTTGAACTCTTCGAATTACTTCATCTTCTGTGGATTCAATCTCGTCTTTACTTGGCACACTAGCCACGTTATCAGAATTAAGAACATACTGTTGAGTAAATTTATTTACTCGTTGAGAGAACGGGGTAATGCGGTCGCCATTTGTTTTGGCCAATCTGCTGGATGATGGCCTATCAGTGGTCAGTGGGGTAAGCTCAGAGTTACACGACTCTCCATTGGGCTTTTCCTGTTTAGTGCTTGGTGTGTCAAGGAATCCCTCTTCATCTGTGTGTGTACTGCTCAAGAGCCTGCAAAAATTACTTGTATATTATGATTTCACTTAACATTGAACAATGAAATAACAAAATACTCTTAAAGAAATGCACATTGGTGAAGCTGGGACATGGAACTGACATGTCAACATCATTACTAGAATAAATGTGAAGGCTTGTTTCTTCTTTTATAATCCTGTCTTTTACTTCATTTTGCAGGTGTGACAGAAAACCATCCAGATATGAGCTTTCAAGCTTTAACCCATTCAATTGCCTGCAAAAGTCAGTTTCTTCAGTTTTGATGCATCACGTAACAGGAAACAGAAAAAAAAAGTTACTTTGCAGTGGTATAATTGCGAGACGTATGATTTTTCAGCTTAAAATAAGAATTCAGAAAAGCTAATGGTACATCATGAACTGGTAAATAATGAGAAACATTACCAGAAAGCTACTGCCACTCTGGCCAGTACTATTACTTCATACTGCCTTAAAAAGGGTTACCAAATATCTGGCAAGCAGATAAAGTTCATTGCTCCCTAAACCATTATCTAGTACTACTTTCTAACCATTTTCTTTCCTATAAGGACAAAATATGGACACCAGAGTTATATGTTGTTGTGCCTCAACCAAAAGTGGAAACAGGATCAGAACTGCATGCTCCAGAGAACCGGCTGCAATAATGCAATCACATCACGTAGGGACTCCTGCAATATGCCGTATATTTCTGAATCTCATTTCTCCCTTCTATGAAAAGTATGAACCAAACTTGTTGGATACTAAATGGCAAAGAATATCAAGCTGGGTACGATCGCCACTTCTTCAGAACCCACGCACCAAAACAGTCTAGGTACCAGATATTAACACTCTAATAGGATGCACCTCCCAAAAATTCTAGAGCTACAAGCTTGTTTCAAACAAAAATAAGAACATCTTAGTAAAGTTTGACACTCTCCTGGTGGAACAGGCTAAGAATGTGCATCCCAATTCAGTGGAGCTGACCTGTTGAGGTAGTAGACCTCCCAGTTGGAGACGAGATCCGCGGGGCTCATCTTGTAGTTGATGCAGTAGGTCAGCACTGCACAAACCACACAGCAACGCGCACCGCATCATCAGCGCCCATATCGAAATACCAATGAACCGAAGAATCAAAAAAAAAAAAGAAGAAAGAAAATCAGGGGAGCATGGGGGGCATGCGCGCGTACGCGTGGAGAGGATCTCGGCGGCGGCGCCCGGGTCGGCGCCGCCGATGGAGAAGCCGCTGCTCTCGAACTCCGCGCGGATCTCTTCCTCCATCGCCTCCGCCGCGTCGCGCGTCACCGTCGTTTGCCTGGGTCGGCGGGGATTGGATTCTGGTGGGGAGAGGAAAAGGGAGAGAGAGAGGAGGGCGGGGATTTGGGGGAGACGAGAGGATTTGGCGGGAACGGGGGTGAGGCCAAGAACCAAAATGGCGGGAAAATTTTTGCGGGTAAGAGCAAACCCTAGATAATTGTTGGGCGGCGGCGGAGGGGAAGAGGTTATTTTCGGATTGGGCCGAACTGGGCTTTAGAATGCCACGGCTAGTTTGTGGGAGGAAAAAGTTCACCTTAGATCCCTCGTCTTGACGTCGAGTTAAATAAAAAAATCATCCCTATATAACGTATCTCTAATCTTACGAATATTGGTCATATTGGTCCCAAGGCCAATGTGAGTAAATTTCCCTCTGAGTGATATATTTTATCCAAAGTTTCGGATAAACCAATATTTTCACTTAACACCGTATATCTTTATCACTTTTTGGGAAGTTTGTCAGGGTTGAGCATACGAAGGGAATATGTGAGAAAAGTTAATCCAGGTGCTCAGTGATCCATAGTATTATAGATAAATATATTTAGAGAGTCAGTTTCTAGCAAACCAAAAACGATTTTTCAGCTGATCAGGAAACAAAGATGTGGACATGTTTAAAGAACAGTACAAATTAATCTACACAAAGGGGAAAATGAATAAAAATGAAATACAACTAGAAATTAGTTGGTTTGATACCACTCACACTAAAGAATAAAAAATATATAATGCTTGTTCAGTACTGGGTTGGGAACTAATCCCATGCACGTAAAATAAGTTTATCATTAGCGTATGATTAATTAAATATTAGAAAAAAAACTTGAATTCTATAGGTTTTTTTTTAAAAAAAGTACCATGCACGAAAAACAAGGGAGTCGAATGCAACCAATGTTTTGTCTTTTTATATACATGATTCACTGTGTAAAGTGTATGAAGTTGTCTATCATATTTTCATGCTATGCTTATTTCTAGTACAAACCGCAAACTAATTGTATTGGTTGAGGCCTGGTTTGTTGTGAAATTTTGGTCAAAACATGTGGTCTAACGTGAAATTTAGTCTATTGAATATTGGTACCATTTCACCACGTATTTAATTACATATGGGTTGTAACTTAAAATGGCTCTTTTTGTTTTTTTTTCTCTATGTCCAACTCTTGTTTGTAGCCCTAACTACATAATTTACTTTATTTGTTTTTGGAGGGGGGGGGGGGGTTAGTATCTTTGAAGTCCAGTCCCAAGCAAAATTAATTAAGGTCTTGAATGGAGGATTTCTAGATGAATTTCTTAAAGGCGTTAAACTAATTCCTATGAAAATATTGTAAAATTTCAATGTTTTAAAGAAGCCCCTAACCTTTTGACAAAGGAGAATATTGTCATTTTTTTTCTTATTGTTCCAAATTTCCAAATGAGGCATATTCAAAGTGAGCAATAAGCATGGTTATAAGATCTAGTCTTCTCCGGCAACAACAAAATTTTATGTCTTGCCCACCTTCATCTTTGTAGGCCTTTGGTTTTGAATCTCGAAACCTGGTATGTTTCCATGTACCAATCCTTCGATTGGTAGTTGATACACATATATAGAGTTGAGATATCCCATATTACGCATTAAATACATTTATTAAGGCCACATTGGCCATAAGCTATCAGAGAAGGAAAATGCTACGCATACAATCTTTTTAGTACGATCTTGTTACGATAAGACGCAAAGGCACGGACGGCACCGGCAAAACGGCACGCACGGCGCAGTCTAAGCGTACTTATGGGCCCTAAAGCCCAATTCACCTCTAAACCTGACTTTACGTTCACTACTCCAAACCCTAAATCTGATTTTCATGTTCTGATCTAATCTGCAAGTGTGAAACTAATCCAATAGCATACGCATCGAAGACGAAGGTATGGCATCTTATTTACTTGATTTTCTTTAGCTTCACAATCATCTTTTTTTTTTACATTATTCTCTCTTTCTTTTTTTTCCTAGGCAATGTTCATGGCCATGAAATGCTTTCTTTATTATTATGGATTTAATCTAAAATTTTCCTTTGCAAAACATATGCCATTATTTTTAATTTAATCTGAAACTAGGGTTAATGTTATCACTGTCCAAGGTTCAAGGAACATATTTGTATGCGTAATTTGCTTAACCATGCCACATGATAAATTCAATGTTGAGTGCTAAGTACAATTACTATATACAGTAAGATATTAAGAAGAGGATTGCTTAAGATATGATTGAAAAGAAAATTGCTTTGGTTGGCTCATTGGCTGTCCAAGCAAGCCAACCAGATAGCAGGCCAGGACGTCAGGAGCTTGGGCTTGGATATGGGATCAACTGAGGCCTGAGGGATCCGTTTGATCGTACAACCATCGTACGAAATAATTCGTACGTATAGCAGCGCTGATCAGAGAAATAGCAGTTGAAACCGAAGTAGTAGTAGAGCCCACGCAACGTGCCCACAAGCAGCTAAATGAGATCATCATGACTTAGTCGTAATTGACACTCTGTTCATCCTGTATACACAAGAATACCTTTCTCTTACAACTTACTAATACTGAATGAGTTAAATAAAGCAATCATGATTACAAAACCACAAAAGTTATTAGCTCGCGGCAACATTGGATTATATGCATAGTTAGGGGTGGGCATTCGGTCAGACCAAAAAATTCGGTCTCGGTCTTCGGTTTTTCGGGTAGTTCGGTCTTTGGAAACTCAGGACCGAATTTCATCCAAAAAAACTCAGGACCGGTAAATTCGGTCTCGGTTTTTTCGGTCTCGGTCTCGGTCTAACCGAATTTTCAAGAGATTTTGGAATGAAAAAACTTTCGCTGGCTTGCTGCGGAGACGGATGCGGGATGCGGCCGGCGGGATGGAGGCGCCGAAGCGCAGGCGGGCTGGCTGGAGAGGGGAGATGGAGGCGGCGTGGGCGCTGGAGGCGGAGCCGCGGAGGGAGGAGGCTGCGCCGGCGCTGGAGACGGATTCGCAGAGGGAGGAGGCGGCGCCGGCGCTGGAGACGCCGAGAAGGAGCCGCAGAGGGAGGAGGCGGCGCCGGCGCGGGAGGCGGAGCCGCGGAGGGGGGAGGCGGCGCCGGTGCGGGAGGCGGAACCGCGGAGGGAGGAGGCGGCGTCGGTGCTGGAGATGCTGAGAAGGAGCCGCGGAGGGAGGAGGCGGCGCCGGCGTTGGAGGTGGAGCAGAGGCGGAGGCGGCGGTGCGATGGAGGCGAAGGCGTGATGCGCGACGCGCGAGGGTGGGGATTGGATCGGAGGGATTGAGGTTATGAGGGCGTTGACTAGGTTTTCTCTAGGGTTTGTTGTATTTACTGGGTTTATTGGGCCTTCTAGGTCTATTGGGTCACAATTCGGTTTTCTCGGTTAATTCGGTTAACCGAAGCCTATAACCGAATTACCCGAAAAAAATTCGGTCTTTCCACTGCTGAGACCGAACTACTAACCGAATTTCTCGGTCTCGGTCTTTTCAGTCTCGGTCTCGGTCTTTTCGGTTCGGTTCTTCGGTTCGGTCTTATTTTGCCCACCCCTATGCACAGTGTACAGGAATAAATCAAGGAAAACTAGAATTTATTTGTATAAAACCAGAGTTGCAATTGTATAATAATATATTTAAATTGCACTTTTACAAATTGATTTTCTACACATCTGTGTATCATGGGTTAGAATCTCAGACAAGAGAGGATAACCCCATCATGATCGTAACCCCCAGTAACATGTGGGATATCTCACCTCAGGGTTCCTTGCCAAATGCTGCAAGCAGGAAACTCACATGTATATATAAGGTCTATCGATGGGGAATCCTAACAAAACTGGAACCTGTGTTCGACGATGTGGGTTTAAGACTATGATCGCACGACTTTACCTTGAAAAAGTTCACTAACACCTTCAAATTACCCAAGTTTGGGTCTCTCAAAGGATAATGGTTCTACTTGTATTTTCTTGATTAACATACGGACAACCATATAATGGAGATGTGTTAGAACTGGTTAAGTCTGGAGTCCTAAAACTTTTGTATGTTCTTGTGTATGTGAGAATCCCACCGTGATTGTTAGTAATCGGGCCAATATTTTCACAAGCCATCTTTGGAAGCAAGTCTTTGAGGATGATGGAGTCAAATTATATTTCAGTAGTGCCTATCACTCACAGTCGAATAGCCAAACTGAATGTGTAAATCAGTACTTGGTAACTTACTTAAACTGGCTGACTTCCACTAAATCTAGGATATGGCTATCCTTGTTATCACAAGTTGAGTGGTGGTACGATACAAACTTTTATACCTCTTTGAACATAACACCTTACCAGGTTCTCTATAGTCAAAAACCACCCTTACTTGGTGAAGTCCATCATATCTGTATTATTTCAGTAGTGCCTATTACCCACAATTGAATGGCCAAACTGAACGTGTAAATCAGTGCTTGGAAACTTACTTAAGCTGCCTGACTTCCACTAAACCTAGGATATGGCTATCCTTGTTATGACAAGTTGAGTGTGGTGGTATAACACAAACTTTCATATCTCTTTGAACATGACACCTTACTTGGTAAAGCCCTTCTATCTGGTTTATTGGAAGAATAGTGCAATAGAGAACAAGAAAAATTAATGTAGCCCTATCGTCATAATGCACTTGATCTGAATAATTCTCGGAAGCTACATTCCTATTACTATGGGTCTTTCAGGGTGATCAATAAGGTGGAGGTTATTACCTATAAGCTTCTCTTGCATATATGAAACTTCTCATATCCACCCCATGTTTCATGTCTGCTAGTTGAAGAAACACCTTGGATCAAAAGCAATTCCTGAACCTGGCTGGCCTCTAATCGACAAAGATGGAAACATACCTACAGCTCCTTTTGCTGTTCTGGGTATTAAGAGGGTTAATTCCCCGTCACAATTAACTGGTGCAATGGAAGGTTCAGTGGAAGAATCTCTCAGTGCAAGCAGCTACCTGGGAAGATGCATATCATCTGTCCTTGTCTTGTGGCACCCATTTATTTTCCCCCATTCTGCTATTATTCCCTGAATTTTCTTTCCGTAGGATCCTAAATAGGTAGTACCTTCATCTCATAATAATTATAATTCTAAGTTGTTTAGCATATATTAAGGTTTGAGAAGAAA